CCCCACCCCCGCCGGCCCCCACCACGGCCTTGGCGCCACCAGCCCGTCATCTACAGGCACTGAGTGCTGCTCCCTCAGCCCAAGCGCTCTGAGGGGCTCCTCCCCACCCGATGTAGGGCCAGCAGGACTCCAGCCAACTCCCAGGACTTCTGAGAGAGAAGCCCTATCACCGGGAGGAGTGTGAGGGGCTCAGAGGGAGCAGATGCCCACCAGCAGCCCCGGCTCTCACCTCTCACGTCAACTACCGCTGCATGTTCTCCCCCATCTTGGCTTCCCTGGGGATGCACCTCGCACCCAGGCAGCCAGTGGGAAAATGGAACTGGATGGCGCCCCCACTGCCCACCCCAGAGGGTGACAGCCGGCAAAAGCTAGGCCACGGTACTGGGGCACCATCCACCTGGGAACACGTCAGGGAATGCTGCTCCATCCCCTCCCTGACGTGGGATCAGGAAACAGCCCTCAATAAGGTCCTGCCCCTCTCTGAGCACTGGGTGGGGGGAGCTGGGAGGAAGGTGGGTGCACTGATTGCCAGAAGCTCTCCCACGGAGGTACACCCACTCTTCCTACAGACAATTAGGGAGGGATTCCTTCTGTGCCAGGTACTCAGGGCACAAAGTTTGGCCCGGTCCCTCTTCCCTGAAATGTGGGCTGTTCTGAGTGACTCACTTCTAATAAGTAGACTGTGGCAAAACTGATGGTGTATGACTTCTGAGATTAGGCCATAAAATGCACCGGGACTGTGTCCTTGCGCACACATGTGGGCTCCCCCTCTCCCATCACTTCCTCTGGAGGAAACCAGCCGCCATGCTGTGAGAACACTCAAGCAGCCCTACGGGGAGACCCATAAGCTGAGGAGCCCGGGCCTCCTGCAAACAGCACACGAGGGCGCCATCTCAGAAGCAGGTCCTCCAGTCCCAGCCAAACCTCAGGTGACTGCAGCCCTGCCTGACAGCTTGATCACAGCCTCCTGAGAGGCCCCAAGCCAGGACCACCCAGCTAAGACACTCCTGGTTCCTAACCCAGAGAAACCATGAGTTAATAAATGTTGCTGGTGTTAAGCCACTAAATTGTGGAGCACTTTGTTTCACAGGAATAGATAACTAACTAATAAAGACATCAGCACCTGGCTGTATAAACAGTAGGAGTCAAGGGGGATTGTTGATGGGCACCCCTAAAAGCCCAGGTGGACATGCTCAAAATTCTGCTCCCTCCCATGACAAGCCCCAGAGCCTGAGGGGTCCCTAACAGGCTACTCTGCTTCTGTAGGGAAGATCAGAGGGCCCGTCCTAGATGCCTTTTCATCTTGACTGCCAGGAAGCTCCCAGCTTAGAGGACTTCTGTTGGTTTAAGTTTGGGGATGTTTGCCCTCCCATCCCTTATAACGTTTCCATTTTTCTAGATCCACTTTAAGTACCTAGTTATATGACCCTTTTAAGATAAATCATATCTAATCATTCTGCAAAAAAAAAAAATAATGGTGGGCATGAAAGGAGAACAAATCAATGAATGAAGGGAATAAAGAGGATACAGGAAAGAGTAGGAACAGAGGCAGGAGGGCATCCCCCCGCCACACACACACACTGTACCTGCACTGATGCCCACGAGCAGCCGTCCCAGCATGATCATCTCAAAGGAGCCTGCTCTGCGGCTGAAGCCAAACAGGGTCGCTGCGGCCACCACGAAGATGTTATTCACCATCAGGGACTTCTTCCTTGGGGAAGCCAAACACAGGCGAGAGATGTGGGTCCAGTCCTGAGGACCATCCCTGGGGACCCTTCTCTGAAGCTTCAGCTAGCCCTGATCAGACCTGTGTGTGCATGAGGGGACTGAGTCAGGAGTGTAAGCTACACGAACAGAAATGACGCTGGCCACTGTAGCTGGGGTCACTTGTGGGATGCCCCCAGGGGCCCACTCCCACTCCCCTCCTCCAATATGCCCCAAATTACTCTCCTTTCTGCCTCCACCACGGCTTGAAGTGACAGAACCCGTATGGCTTTATCCCTACAGATTGAGCACTGCTCTCCTCAAACTCCTCTGTAAAGCGAAGGGCCTAACAGCTGATTTCTCAGACTCAAGGAAACCCTGGGGAGGAAGAACAGGGGCTTCCGGAGTGAGGGAGGGGACACCTGAGGAGCCAAGTGCATTGCAGAGTCACCGTTCAGAGCCTTCAGGATGGCTGGGTGGTCTCTGCCAGGCTGGTTCAACGGGACAGACGGTAAAACAGGAAGGGGCACTGGGCATGTCAGCAGCTCCACACGATGAGGTGTCAGCTCTGGGCTCCTGACACCGCGCTCAGAGGCGCTGTCATGCAGGTCACCCAAGAGAGGCCACAGGAGGTCATATGGCTCATGTACTGACAAGGAAATGAGCCACAGGAAGCCGCTGGCCTGCTCCAAACCAACAGCACAGGGGTGAAAGATGGGCCAAAGCTCAGATCCCCTGGCCTAGAGAATGGAGAATGACAGTGGATTATAACTTGATCCTGTGGTAACTCCAGTTGTGACTTATAAGCCACATACGGCTTCCTCACTGGTATAAATTAATACAGTGCTTCCAAGACTTTCCTGGTGGTCCAGTGGCTAAGACTCCACGCTTCCAATGCAGGGGGCACGGGTTCAATCCCTGGTTGGAGAAGTTCTGCATGCCAACGCCGTGCAGTGCAGCCAAAAACAAATAAACAAAAAAACACAGTACATCCACTGTAGCTATTTATCTGGCGGATGCTTTTTGCTGCATTTCAATACAGACGACAGCAGAAACACTTTACTTCCGCCCGGCAGGGAGAGTACTGCACCTTTACCGACCTCCTTAGGGACACGGCAGCTCTCCAGCTCTGGGCCACCCCTGCTCCATGGGGAGCTGCCCGCCTCAGGCATCTTGCTGGCCCGCTGCTTTGATGACTTTATGCTGTAAAGGACACGGGGAAGAGGAAGCGGCAAGTGCACCCGACGTCATGGTAACGTACAAGCATGACAGAGTGGGAGCCGCCACACCAGTGGAGTTCCTGACGTCCGAGGGCACATTTCCTCCAAAGTGCGGGATGGCTTGCTGCCCTTCCTCTAAGAAGGATGGACAAATCTCAGATGGCTTCTTTCTACTTTGGAGGCAGCCTGTCCCACAGTGAGTGGCGTGATCTGATACCTACACTGGGTGATTTGCAAACCTGGAAGCTGTGAGTGGAGTATGCCCTAGTAGGTCCAAACCAGCTGCCAGATGCTCCGCCCCTCGATCCTCTAGACCTGGGATATTGTGGTGCTCAAAGTGCCCCCAAGGAGAATCACAGTGCAAGACCTAGGATTTTGGAGTAAAGACAATACTTCGGTGAATTGCTACCCCCTTAATCAGAAATAACTCCTGGCTGGTCACTAGGCCCTAGTGGAGAATACACACCGGGATGGGGTGTCTGGCTGTTGTTCCAGCCCGCGGAGTCCTGGTTTTCTGTCACTTGCCGTTGGTACTTCTGCTAAACACACAAACATGTTGTCTGTGCAATTTTGCTTCCAACAAAGGAGGTTACATCAGTGAAGCAGAAGGACGGGTGCCCATGGAACTCAGTATCACATTAGGAACCCCGTCATTCAGAAGCAGGTGACCTCAGAGGGTAATAACCTGCTGACGGACCCACACCATCAGGACTGCCATGCCCACTCGAGCATGAAGATGGGGGTCACCCCGATGGGCAAACAGCCTCAGGCCGGTGGAAGTGCTGACACCAGACACGAGCAGAAAACCTGAGGATGGACGTCCCCGAGGCAGTTTTTGGAGTGACCAGCTCCAAAACCCAGGAGCAGACCCTCTACCTATGTTTCCAGGTTCTGGATCATACGCTTTAAACTAAATTCATCCACTAGTTTCCTTTTCTTTGATTAGTTTCCCCTACACTTTCTTCTTTCTTCTTCCCGTGAGGTGTCTTGAGGGCAGTTAAGTTTACCATTAAGTGTGTAGTGTGCAGAATATCAACACGGTAACGGCAGGGCTGGCAGATTGGTCGTCACGTGGAAACTCTGCACTCAGGGAGCATACCTCCGTTGTGCCGTCCCTGGTGGCTGTGACGAGGCAGTGCCCTGGGTGGTCTCAGGAAGGACTGAACAAACTAACGTGAGGAGGGGCACATGGGGAGCTGAATATATGGGTGAAAGGTGCTGACACGTGCTGGGTGGCCAGCCAAGGGGGGGACCATGAGAGCCGCTTGTTTTTCCGCCCGGCCTTGCTTCTCTCCTGCTGTCTCACGGGTGTAGGCATGTGACCCAAGGTGGGCCAGGAACAACCTGTCTCCCTTGATTCTGAGAGCGAGTGAAGATACTGGAGGTGGAACAAGGCTGGAGCTGATGCGCTGAAGGCATCTCCCAGGAGAAAAGCCCAGGCTAGGGTGGCCTTGCATCCTGCCCTCCCCAGGCCTGGCTTTTGACCACTTCCTTTTGTCCTATGAGCTGCCCCAGTATCCTTTGCGTTATCACAGTTTTCCATTCAGTCTGTCAGAGTCTGTCTCTCTTGTTTGCGACCCAAGATCTGCATCAGTTGGATACAAAGCGGGGCACTGGGGAGAAAACACCTGTTCACAGTCAGACAACGTGTGCTGTATTGGCAGCCATGGGTCCTCCCTCCCTCCCAGCATGGGACTCTTCCCTCTGCCACATCTGCTGGGAAACGTGAGTCACCCGGTGAAACTGCAGGCAGAGCGGGAGGCCGGTGAGGAGTTGACTCAGGCCTGGGCCTGCCGGGCATCCTGCCCACACCCAGGGTGCCCCTCATTGAAGGGCATTTGGGGGTCCACGGGAAGCACTTACCTCCCCAGTGTGATGGCCAAGGGGCCAGCAAGCAGCGCTCCCAGAAGTCCCCCCACGGGGTACAGAGACACGATGAGGGACCACACGAGCGGGACCAGATGGTCGGGCAGCGGCTGGCCAGTTCGCATCCGCCACGTCTCATTGGTGAATTCTTGAATGTGCTGTGGACAGAGATGCCAGTCAGCCCCCCGGGGGCGGAGGCTCCCTCCCCACAACAGGGCTTCTCCCCACAGGCCCTGCCTCTGCAGAGCAGGCAAGTCTCCCCAGCAATCCTGGTCCCTTCAGGGCAGGACCGAACTCACTCAACTGCAGGGCACTGTGCCGTCTCTTTCAAACACAGTGTCTCCTGGAGCTCAGAGCTGGCCAGTCTCTATGTGCCCCTCTGAGTCCACTATCAGCCCCCCTCCCCCACTTTTGGCCTGGGAAGCCACCTGCATGGGCCACATCAGCAGGCTCCCTTGATGACCAGCTTTCTGATGGACTTGGCCATCAGTGAGCATCAGCAGAGCAACAGAGGAGGCAGGAGGGGTGTTTGTCCCCAGGGCTCCTTCACTGGGGGCACCTCAGGATTGCTGCAACGCCTGACCAAAAGACCCAGATACCCTCCTCTTGGTCAGAGATGAATGTCAGTGTCTGGCTGGTCTTAGTCCTCCCAACAGGACGTGAGGGAGGACGTGAGGATGACCAGGGGGTGCAGGTGAGCAGGCCAGCTCAGGGTAATGGCTGTTAGCCTGGTGCCCGCCAGGTCCCTCTGGGGGAAGGACCTGTCTCGGGGAGCTGGGACCAGGGCCAGCCTCCCCTGACCTTGGCTTGAAATCCTCAAGGGTGACCATTCAAGGGAGTAGGGGAAGCCTCAGAAGCCAAGGAAGTCTCATTTGCAGGAGCCAGTGATGGCCCATGGGAAGCAAGGCCTGAGAGTGTCCTGCTGTGGGCAGATCCCTCTCCAGCCTGCAAGTTTGCACTGAAGTGGACACTCGCATGCTTGTTGAATAAACAAATAAAACAGCCAATGGAGCTCAGACGCCCCTTTCTAAACCCTTCATTTCATCCTCTTTTAAGGGACTGGGCAGCTATAGTTGTTTCTGCCCAGAATGTATTCCCATCCCCAACTTCTAAGCACCAACATGCTTTGAGGGAAATTCTTTCCCCTTGACAATTACACCCCCCTACACAGTTGGTCACCTGACCCAGGCCTGGCCAATCAAAGTGCTCCACCCTCCTGGCCACATGATTGGTCTAGTGGGCATATGATCCAAACCAGCCAATCAGAGGGCATGTGATCCAAACCAGCCAATCAAACTCTTCCCCAGCCTTTCTGCTGGAACTAACAGGGAGAACTTCTGTTTGGGGGTTCCCAGTCCAGGACAGAAAGTGAGTCTGGTGACAGCTGCTCTCTTGCACTGGGTGGAGGATGATGCCCTGCAGGGATAGGAGAGCCCCAGTTCCATCCTGGGACCTGTTTCCTGCAGCCCCACCTCCTTCACAGCTATGTGACAGGACACTTGCCCTTCTCACTTAGGTGGGATAGAGGTGGCTTCTATCAATGGGGCCGAGAGATTCATCCTTTCCACAGGCATTTACTGAACATCGGCACAGGCCAGGACAGAGTCAGGTGCTGGGGACTCCAAGATGACTTGGACACTGAGAGGAGACCAGCAGGAGACTGAGACCAAGGGCTGGGGAGGGAGGGTGACTCCAGCTGGGGGGGCTGCTAAAGGGCGGCTTCAGGGAGGTGATGGCATTTGGGTGGCTCTTGAAGGGCTTCTTGCAGGTGGGGCAGAGAGGGCTTCCCATCAGAAGGAGTCTTCAAGGAAGGGCTGGGTGCATTTGGGGAACTGCGTTTAACCTGCTTTGGTAGCGGAGTAGGGGGAACGAAGGTGGAAGACAGGTGGACAGGTTCTGATCCCAGGAGGCCTTGGACTTCAGATGGATGAGTCTGTCCTTATTCCTGTAGGCACTGGGGAGCCACAGAATGTTTCTGGGCAGGGGAGTGGTTTGATCAAACTTCAGAGGATCTAGAAGGGGGAGGTCAAAGGCAGGGAAGCCAGTGATACAGGCAGGAGAGACGGGGTCTGAACTGGGATTGTGCAAGAGACCCGAGGAGAAATGGCTGGAAGCCAGAGGCAGTTAGGAAGGACTTGGTGTCCCAGAGGGAGGGAAGAGTCAGGGCGGACCCCAGTCACTGGGTGGATGGTGGAGTCATCTACTGATATCAGGGACTCAGGAGAACTTGCCAGTTTCAGGGGAGGATGCAGAGCTGGGTTTGAAATCGCAGGGCCTGTGGAGCATCGCAGTGGAGGTGGACATGTGGGAGAAAGCGCCACCAAGTGGATGCTGGCCTGAAGATCTGCTGCAGGCAGCTGCTGGCCCTGGCCCAGCACCCACTGGGATGGTGATGGTGCGCATGGAGGGTACATACCGAAGTCGGGGCATTGATGATGGAGAGGTTGTAGCCAAATTGAAAAGTCCCACCAATGCCAGCCGCACAGATGGTCAGGAGCAGGACCCTGCCCTGGAACTGAGGAGAGAGGAGAGGACACAGAGTGCCTGATTACAGCCTCCACCGATCCCAGCACTGCAATCTATCTGAACCAGGCAGTCATGGCTCCACTTTGCAGATGAAGAAGCTGAGGCAGAGAGGAGTTGCCTAGGTCGTATGGCTGGCAGGTAGCAGAGGCACCCTTAGCCTTCTGCTCTGAGTCCAGGATCTCACTGCCCCTTCACCCCTGACAGCATTTTCCTGAGATGGACAGCCATTCCGGGCCCTCCTTGCCGGGCATGCCTGCTGTGGCTCAGGGGACAATGCCTTGAGCTGGGGCCCCACAGGCGTGAAGCTCTGCCTCTGGCAGGACAGGAGTCCCTGAGCTACAGTGACTCGCCCCAGTGAAACTCTCTCAATAGAGTGGCTGGGCCTCCCTCTCTTCCCTCCCAGCCTGTTCTGCCAGGAGGCCAAGAGGAGGGGCCACACGGACCTACATGTGTGGGGGCCTGGGGGGCACATGGAGCAGCAGAGAGCAGCCTGGGTTGTGGTGCCAGCTCTGCCCTTCCTCCCTCATCTTCTCTGGGTGGCTTCCTCGCTGGCCCTGGTGATGATAATGGCTACCTTCAGGCTGGGGGACAGCCAATGCGCATGTGCACTACACACACCTGGTACAACAAAGGGCAGCTTTTCATCCTCATGCAGCACCCTTAGAGGTGGAGGGATAACTCCCCAAGGCACCCAGCTCAGTGCCCTGATGCCCCATCATTAGATTGGTATCTTTTTCGGGGGATTCAGTCTTATTTATAATTTTTCTCTTATAATTTTTAATTCAAAATAACCTGCTCGTTAAATTTTTTGAAAATCCAGTGTACGCTAACAGTTCTCCAGGCTCCCAAAGAGCAGTGAACCGCTTCCCTCAGATATTTTCTGAGACATTCACAAAGTGGTTAACTATACAAAAATCAAATTGTTGATCTTTTCCTAGTAACTCTATACTACCTTTCTTGCTCGGGCAAATTGTCCCTCAAATATAAAGCACTGTGTCATATTTATTATTTTTTTAATACTTAAATACAAGTTTCAAGTCAGAAGGATGTTTGGCTAAGGGCTCCCTGAAGAATTTCCAGAACCTGAAGACTACTTACTCATTCATCAGTCAAATACCAAGTGACTATCCCAGCCAGGAACTGCGCTGAGAGGCACATACAGTGGGGCGGGGGTGTGGGGTGGGGAACGACAGACCTGCTTTCACCGTATTGTGAGAACCTGGCCTGGGGGTGGGGAGGTAGAGGAAGAGGCTCTGAGGGCAGGTTCCTGCCAGAGATCTTGCCACAGGTCTGCAGGCTCGTCTATGACAGGCGCCCTGGCTGCCCGCAAGTTCCTACAAGGTCTAAGTAACTTCCTCCCAAGCCTGAAGCCATAAGGGGAAGCCAGGTGAGAACCCAGGAGTCCCGTCTCAGTCTCACTGGAGTCACTGGAAGCACCCTGCTGGGCTGCCCGGAGGTGAGAGTTCCACTAAGAGAGCAGATCTGCAGGAAGCAGCAAGTCACACACAGCCTGATGAGAACTGAGCCCATGTGGCAGGGGTGCTGGCAGGTCTCCAAGACAGCATAAATTACTTTATTCCATGAGATCGTGCATGGAGATTGCCTAGTCCTCTGACTGGTCATGAAAAGCATTCAGACATTAGCTATGGTGGTGATTATTAAGTCAGTGAATAAAGATTTCTTGCCTCCCTACTGTGGGCAATAAATCTACTGTTCTAGGTGCTGGGGATATAGTAGTGAACAAAAGAGACGAAATCCGTGACTATTCCAGCGGGGGAAGACAGGCAGTAACAAACAAGGAACATACATAGTAAGTCAGCTGTGCGACGTAGACAGAACGCAGGCGAAGGTGAGAGGGGGGTGTCTGGAAAAGGTGGTCAGGGAATACGCCATGAGAAGGGGGCATCCGCACAAAGACTTGAAGGAGGTGAGGGGAAGCGCCATGCAGATCAGCGCCGGTTGGCAGGGTAAACCCTGAGGCGGGGTGGTGAGCGTTATCGGCTTGCTCTTCCCGCTGCCCCTCCCCCTCGGTGCAGCAGGACGGGAGGACGGAGTTTAGAACCAGCGTGGAGGAGATGAAGGTTGGGGAGAGAAGTGAAGGTGGGAAACAGGCCCAGGACTGGATGAGGCGGCCAGGACTGCAATGCCCAGGGGCTGCTGCTGCTGGGGGCGTGTCAGGCCCACACGAGGACCAGAGGGATGCTAACCTGGGACGCTGCCGGTGCGCAGGTCCCGTGCGCAGTGCGCACACTGCGCCCCAGCCCAACACTGCGCGTGAACACCTGCTCTTGTTCGACTGGGCAGAGCACCTAGCTCCATTGCGCACACTCAGATACTTCTGTACACTGGACGCGTTCGTTGAGCCTTCCCAAGTGCACGCCAGTCCGCAACCCCTCATCCGATAAGCCTGGGCCGGCAGGTCTCGGAATTCAGACGTTTGCGAAAAGCGGATCGGCGTGGAAGAGGGAGGCGCATGCGTAGTGGGCATTTGCGAAGACTCGCTCAAAGCTTACCTCAGCCAGAGCGCGCGGCCAAGACACGTGCGCAGGCGCACAGGGCGTAACGGGGGTGGGGGGCTGGGGTCCCGCGAGCGGGTCACCTGAGTCCGAGGCTGTAACGGCGGCTCGTGTTCATCCTCCATCCCTCCCTTTCTGCAGCTCTGAAGGTGAAAAGCCACTGACTCCTTACTCGGCCGAGCCTGTGGCCCATCTCCGCAGACCGGAAGGGGGCTCAGGTCCGAAGTCACCACGGCCAGTCCCTGCATCCGCCTTCGCATGTCTTGGCCGGCGGCTCTGATCAGCGCGCTCCAGACTCGCACGAAATCCCGGCCCTGGCCCCTAGTCCCCTCGTCTCCTCCCCCGCTGCCGCCTCCGGAGTGACTCTCAGGCCGTCACTCCCCTTTGGACCTCCGCCGCCGCCCCTTCCGGCCCCTCTGCCCGGCCTCCTCTCACCCCAATCAGGCGCCCCTGCCCGCCTGCGGGAGGCCCCTGTCCCCAGGCACTATGAGGGCCGAGCCCTTGATTCTGCACAGGCATCCCCACTATCCTACAGTACAGGTGTCCCCGCCCTTTCCCCCCAGGGGAGAGACAGGATTAGGAGGGCCAAAAGGCAGACCCACAAGTCTGGAGAGCTCTCATCCGTCGTCCTGGCAGAGCCAGTGACTTGGAACGCGGGTGGGAGACCCAGTCTCGGGTTGCAGCCCGGGGATCCATTCCGTGAGAGGCCAGCCTGGCCTATGCGACAAGATTAATCCGGCCCAGTGGACCTTGTGAGATGAGGAACCACCGGGTCCGCTGGGCAGGATTAATCTTTTATTTCTCAGGGCTTCTCAGGTCCTTCATGAATCCAGGAGTTGGATTAAGGCCAAATCGAAACCAGTTGCCAAAGATGCTATTTTTGGTCATAGAAACATAGACCTGAAAGTGACCCTAGGAAGTCATCTGAGCAAATGTGATAGGACATACACCAGAAGGGACACTGTTTTATTTTTGCTGCCCTGAACTTGTAAAAGTTTCTAAAAAACATCATGCATTTTTTTCAGGAAAAATATCAATACAATAAATAAAATATTAGCAGTTGCTAAGTGCATGCCTTTCTGCATCTCTGCATCTATTGAGATGATCCACTGCTGTGATAATACACTCTTTGCTCCCTCCCGGCCGCCCACCCCACTGACACCTCGCTGGAGTCAGCCCCCCAATGCGTGGGCTCCCCAGCCACTAATTATTATCCTTAAGCAAGGGAGCTTGAGGTTTCTCTTTGGCAAACATTAATCAGGAGTTTAACCTTGAGTGTGTGAAAGTCAAGGTTGTGAGTGTTTGTGGCTGCCCAGTGCTGATGGCTAATCCTCTCAACGTCCCTGAGACTCCACAAGGTGGAGTCTGTGTCCGCCGCACCCCTGCAGCCCTGCTGGAAGTCGGGGCTGGGCTTTCAGATCTCCAAGTCCAGCGCAGACCCGACGGGATGGGGCTGTCAAACCACGCCTGAGTCAGGGGAGCGTGGAAAGACAACCCCCCACGCGTGACTCCTCCTCTGGGGAGCTTCCCGCGTGGATTCCCACCCAGTCTCGGATTCCCACCCAGTCTTGGTTTCCCTGGTGAGAAGGCAGAGGTGGGGATGTTACCAAATCTTGGCTCCCTGTCTACCGATGCCGAATAGAAATAAGGAGACAGAGTTTGGAGGAAATAGAACAGAGTAGCTTTATTCCTTTTGCCAGGCAAGAGGGGAAGACAGTAGGCTAGCGCCTCAAGAACTGTGTGCCCCTCCTTGGGGAATCGGAGAAGATTTTATATGTGGGGCTCGCAGTCCCGGGTATATGATAAGGATCAAAAGTAGTGAAGGTCTTGCATTTCTTTTCTTCTGCAAATTCATGGCCAAAGCTGGCATCAGGCGGCTCAGCAACCAGGTCTGGTGTCCCTGAAGTTATCGGCTGGTGACCTTCTTTCTGAAATGAAGAGTACTACAAGGGAGTGTAGGGGGAGAAGAAAGGCCAGGTGCAAAGGGTAATTTGTACGGAGTCAGAGAGTAATCAGCTTTGTGAAGGACAAGTCTAGCTATAAGTGCTTATTAGTAGTAATAGCTAAAGAATAACCAAGATTACTTAACTCTTTCAGGCCTGTTTATATTGTTTCCCCAGCCTGTTCACTGTTTCCTTATTTTCCTTGTTTATCAGAAAATTCTCATGTCTGTTTTTGCTGAAACAGGGGCAAGGGAGGAGGGGTGGCCTGCTTTCAGTCACCAGTGCTCAGGAGCTCCGGGAGGGAGGCCAACGTGGGTGGTGACGCCCCTCCCCCGCCATGGGAGCCACGACCCACGCTCCCTCCTACACTCCGGAGCCTGTCAATCTGCAGATGGGAAACTGAGGCCCAGAGCTGGCGGCGAGGGGGGAGTAGGGGGATCCACCCCGGCACTCAGCGGGAGGCAGGGAACACAGCGGCTCGCACCGAAGGTAATAGATACCGCAAAGCTGGCTGGAGGGCTCCACCTCGGGCGCCCGGTGGTCTGCGCTCCACCGAGCCCCCGGCTGCTCCTACCCCCGCAGAAGCGGCGAGGCCGCCTCGTCGACCCGACCCCGCTCCAGAACGTGCCTCCACTGTTACCCGGGCCCGGGGACTCCCCTGACCCCCGGATTAGGCCTCCCGGATTAGGCCTCCAGACCCCATTTAGCCCTCCCAGGCCGCCCCCGCCAGTTGCCGGGATCCGTCCCCGCTGCCGAGACCGGCTCCGGCCGCGAGGGGGCGACAAAGCCCGCGCTTCGGGAGTTGGCGCGGCGGGTCGCCAGACCTCTCGGGGCTCCGCGGTGGCAGGGAAACCAAGAGGCCTGAGCCAGGGCCCCGCCAGCTGCGGGGAACTCCAGGGGGGAGCTGCCCCCACGGCCCCTGGGCGCCGAGTCCTGGCCGAGCCCGGGCGTCCCCTGTTCCACGAGCCCCAGGTGATTTCGTTTCCTTGGTCCTGCGCACCCAGACCGCGCCCCGCCGGGGGGCCGGGGGTAGTCAACCCCACCCCCACCCCCCAGTTATGACAGACAAGCATGTCTCCAGACTTGCAGGTGTCCCAGGGGAGGGGGGCAAAGTTGCCCCTGGTGGGGAACAAGTGCCCTAGAGCAGTGCCATCAACGTGTGGTCTTTGCATCGCAGGACCAAGCTGGAATTGCAGAGTCTTGGGCCCCACCCAGACCTGATGACTCAGAATCTCCGGGGGTGGGGGGTGGGGGTGGGGCCTTGGTCGGGAGTTCGGAGGTCTGACACCCAGCCCACCCTGCCTCTGCCTCGCTGTGTGCCTCCCCTCTCTGCTCCATGAAGGGTGGGACAGGAGTCTGGATGGTGGCCTAACCCCTGGAGCCTGGGCTCAGGTTGGCCCCCATGGTCCGTGGTCTCTCCTTCAGCCCATCACCTGGGCACCCATCACCGGGTGGGTGGTGGGTGGACTGACCTGCTTTGACCCGACTGCCTCCCCTCTGACCTCAGCGTCCTCATCTGTCAGCTGTGCTTTCCAGGAAGGGCTGGGGAGTGGTTCAAGGCCTTCCCTGTTCCTCCCACTTGGACTGGCAACTCTACTCTACACCAGGAGCCTCCCAAGGAGGCACTGGCTGGAATTCAGAGGCCAGCTGACCTTGGGCACCAGGCTGTCAGGGTGGGCAGTGAGCCATCACCAAGCACAGCAGGCCGGCCACAGGCCTGGCTGCAGCTGATACCAGTGGGGTACCTGCAGTCCCAACATGTACTTCCTCTCCAGGCTCCATTTGCCCACCTGTAAAATGGGGACATCATGACGACTGACCTGCCCCCTGCACAGGTGCTGCACCCTCAGGCCCCAGGTGTGTCTATTGACTGCCTGCACTGAGCATCCTGAGGGCAGGTACCGTGCCCTCTCTTGATCTCCAGACAGACCCTGCCTGTGGGTAGGTGAACACGAGGGGCTGCAGCCTGACTGAGTGTGGAGGGCAAGGCCTAGGGGCAGCCGCTGCAGGCTCTACCCCAAATCCAGCTTCTCCCTCCTCCTCAGAGCTGGCATCCACTCCAGTTCTGGGTCACATTTCCAACTTAACGATTCAAAACTAAGAAAGAAAGAAGAAACCCCAAGCAACAACCAGCTGAGCAGCCCCTCCTGGCCACGCTTTGATATTTGAGGACTGAACAGTGGAGCTGATTGCGGATAGGAGATTTAAAGCCATCTTAATTAGAAGCAAAGAATGTCCTCGGGGTTGGCTGTTCTAAAAATACAGCTGTGCCCACATCTGGAGGGGAAGGGTGGGAGGCGGGGGGTGGGGATGGCGGTTAGACACAGTCTGAAGTGCTGACGCCTGCATTCCCTGGTGGGGGAGGCCCCCTCCCAGCAGGGCCCATGGTGGGGGAAGAGGGGAGGACACCAAAGTGGTGGCCAGTCCCCTGTGGCTGGGCCACCTGGTGCAGGTTTGGGATGGAGCTGAACAGGCAGTCCACCCCTTCCTGGGCCCACCCTCACCCCTTCCCCATGCCCTCCCCACACCCCAGCCTCAGTTTCCCCAGGGGCCTAGTTAACGGCCGCTGCTTCTTTCACCAGCCCCCACCTGACACAGGCACAGCTTCTGACTGGGGAGGGAATTTTTCCTGGGTTTGATATTGAGTGCTATTTGTTACCTTTTATGAACTTGTCACTTGTTTTGTTCGTGTCCTCATTCTAAACAAATGAGGTACTTTTGTACCTAATCTTGGACTTGTAATTTTGCATTTGTTTTCTTAAAGAGGCCCTAATACCTCACACAAGTGAAGGGCGTGCGAGGCCGAGAGAACATCTTGAGTGAAATGTGGAGGCGGGGCTTGTGGTGGTATCTGGGGCGGGGGTGGGGCGGGGTGGAGGGGTACAAGGACACAGGATTCCTGTCCCAGGGTCTGAGTGAGCACCTGGCCTGGGGCTCACCCTCCCCGGTATGTGAGCAGGGCCTGGGCTGCTTGGCAGGGGTGTCGGGGGCATAAGCCAGGTGGGAGATGGGGGAGCCCAGGGCCTTTCTGAGCTTCTCCATCCACCTGCTCTGAGCACTCAGTCACTTTCTGGGCAAGGCTCCCAGAGTGGTGGCCCCGTCCTTCCAGGTCCTTGCCAGACCACAGATGGGAATTGCCTGATGATCTGGCAGGCAGGCTATGGGTAGGAAGACCGTGGGACAGTGTGGCCTCAGGTTCCACATGGACCAGATCCCACGTGCATCCCTGGGTGTGCAGGTGGGCAGCAGACCCGTGTGGGACCACACAGTCTTTTCACTGTATCTCCATGAACTCGCATCCCCGGCCCTGCCATTTGGCTGATTCAGCCAAGCAGATAATTTTCTTCCAAAACACAGCCCCACAGCCAAACTGAGCTCGAAAATAGCTGAGGTGGAGGGGGCGGGGCGGGGGGGGGGCGTCACCAGCTGGTCTGGGGCTCTGGCTGGAGGCGGCTTTGGTGGTCAGGTAGTGGCCACAGCAGCGAGTGGAATGAGGGGCAATTGATGAGGGTCATGACAGCCGGGCATTGAAGGTCAGGCTGGCCTGGCAGCTGGGGCTGGGGAGGGACCATCTCATCCAGCCACTGAGGGTCAGAGATACAGAAACCAGGGTCCAGGCGGGGAGTCCCACACCCCAGCTACTCAGCAGGGGAGCATCCAGGGAGCAGAGTCACCTGTCAGAGACATGGCAGGAGCCCAGAGGTGGCAGAGAGGTTTTTGTCTCTGAACCACAGCTGGAGAAGGGTGAAGGCAAGGAGCTGGGAGGGCAGGGCTGGGGAGGCCAGGGAGGGCTTCCCTGAGCGGTCTTGTCCCCCCGGGACCCCTAACTTGGCCTGTCCCAAACCAACAGGGGGTCTCCCTCCCAAACCTGGCCCTCCCCTACGTCTCAGCCCCCTCGCCAAGCACTCACTAAGGTCTATGCCTTCCGCCTCCTTGACCCTGTCACCCTCGCTGTCACGTGCCCGCCACTGCAGGCCGCAGCCATCTTCCCCTCTGACCCCTTTCTCCAAAGAGCCGCCATCTGACCCTAACCTCACCTGGGGCTCTTCACTGCCCTTGGGACAGAGACCATCACCTACAGGGCCTGTCAGCCAGCCTCTCATCATATGCAGCTCCTTCCCTGCCTCTGTCCCTCCATGCCACCTCAAGACCTTTGCACAAGCTGCTCTCCTGTAGGGCCTGGCTAATGCTTACTCTTCCTCTATCCTGACTGCCTCCTCCCTCCCCAGCCCACCCAGAGATCCTCAAATTCCTGGAAAGTCGATTCTGCTACCAGGCTCAGAAGGCCAGGCCCAGGTCGCCCCCTCTGCCGGGCAGGCCTGACACAGCCCACCTGGACGGTTTGTTGTTCTTTTGCTCGGGTCACGAGCAGCTGCTGCTGAGTGAGTTCCGGACTCAGTGCTAAAAATATCCCATGACCCAGACAGGAAGGGCCACCGGGGACACAGCTGCTCCTGGGGGCACTGGCTGGAGCTGCGGTGAGACCCACCCAAAGCAGTTGGGGGCATAGTCCATATGCTGGGACGGGGTGGGCACTGAGCTCGCAGCCCCTGAGGAAAGGCCCCGCGAGGGGTGCCACATGTTATCCACAGGAAGACACAGCACCTCCAGCACTCACCTTGTTTCTGCTTCTTGCCAGCTGTTACCACAGGCACGTGCTGCCTTCGGAATAAAATACATCTAAAATTTGAGTGTGTGTGGCCCTAACAGAAGATAGGTGAGCTCTGGTCCCTTCAGGGAGGGCTTCCTGGAGTAGGGGGCATTTCTATCACCCTCTCTCCCTCTCCTTTTAACAGAACATCTAGGCTGGTAGGGAGGGAAATGAGTGACTGAGTAAGTCAGATCTGGGCTGTCCCAGGAGAGAGATGCTGAATAAGAGGTGGGGAAAGGACTGGAGGGCTCCCTGTGGGGCCGGGGAGTGGGAGTCAGGGTTGGCTCCAGGTTTCGGGGCTGTCATTGGGGTCTCATGAGGGTCTCTCCTGGTGTACGAGCCCTGTGAGGATGAAGGCCAGCTTGGTGGGCACACAGCAGGTGCTGTCCTGCCTGTAGGCACTGGAGAGCCTGCACAGAGAAATCAGGGGTCTTCGGGTGTCCCCGGACCTGGGCACCTGTCCCCAGACCTGGGCTCCTTGCTCTGTAGCAGGCAGGGTCCCGAGGCCAGCGAGGCGGCTTGGAGAGCAGGCCCATCTTCACCTCACCACAGGCCTGCCTCCTGCCATAGTCCTCAGCCCAGGAAAGAGGAGCCGGCCCCTCGGGCAGGCCTGCTGCCCTGCTGCTCAGGACAGACAGATGGCTACACAGCCATTAGCATCCAGCAGCCCGCCTGCCTGGCTCACCCAGGCCTTCTCTCTGTAATTAACTGTCTGGAGGTGCCAGGGGTCGGAGCAGCGGGCCCGGTGCCTCTTGAGTGGCCTGTCCTGGGCCTGACACTGGACGTGAAAGCCTGAACTGGTGGTGACAGTCTGCCCCAGGCCCTGCTCTGCCTCCTAGGGGCCTCAATCCCCACCTGACGGTACCCTGGGCCTGAGAAGGGAAGATGTGCAGTAGAACCCCGCCGCTGCTCCCGGCATGTCCCGCCCAGACCCTGGGCTCCGTCTCCCAGGAATGTGCTTCTCCAGCCCCAAACCCGGCTCCTGCCTTATCAGCCCCATCGAGGGGAGAGACAGACACCCCTATCACATGACGGCCCCTCCGTTAGTCCCAGCCTGACCCTGAGTGGAGGGCCAGCCAGTGCCTGCTTGCTGAGGGCCCGGAGGCAGGAAAGCCTCCCCCTCCCTGTGCAGACAGGAAACCCGC